TGTTGTCGATCTCTGGGAATTCTCGCGTCTACGCTCCATTCCGACAGAACGGCTATGCCTATTTCTGTAAAACTATCACCGAGCGCGAAGATTTATATAAGCGACCGAAACAATGGCTATCGAAGAAGGGACTTTTTGAATTCTGATTAGGACTGATAGCCGAGAAGACGTCCATTTAAAGATCAGATGATAAAGGTTTATGTTCAGTGATACTTACTTCTGCATGTTAACTCAGTATTTTATCCCATTTGAAGTGAATGTTTCAGATGTTTTCGTTCAAGCTGTCAGGATCCCATTTATTTTGAATTTCGGTCCCTGTCAAACAATCCTAGTTCAGTGGATGTGGTGTTGCGCTGCAGTGATGAATGTCTAAGCAAGTTGTAATAAGTTTGAGGAATTATAATGACCGCAACTCTAGGTTGCGATTGGCTGGATTTCGACTGAACAGGTCCAAAGATATTATAGGGGACCTAAAGGTCCGTGAACAGTTATGGTTTTTATAACCCCACATGCGTCCATGATTTTTGGGGTACCGTGAGTCGCGTAGAAGCAGTGAATTCCCAAACTTTGGGTCAGTGTGCTTTTATTATTTAGCCATCAAACATAACTGTTCTCATTTGTGACCCATAATTCAAACCGATGTTCAAATACTGAAAACATTCTTTAGCTGCTATGTAATAAAATCATGGATGAAATTAACGCTTTCTTCCCTCAGTTCATCCAAAGAACACATTTTTCGGTCGGATGTGGTTTTGTAGCCCCACCTGAAGTAAAGAAACCCCAATTACCTCTAATACGGGACCGGTGGTAATAGCGGTCTTTATAGGTGGAGCTGGGGAACGCACAGGCGACGAGGTCAAGTGGTTGTATGCAAAAGAAAAGCTATTGGAATGCGCGGTTGTACTTTGAATGGTTGAGAAATAGTCGCGCTAACCCCTAACCATAACCCCCAACCATAACCCCTAACTCTTAACCCCAACCCCAACAGTATTGTGTCTATCACGTGGGGCTACCAAACCACATCTTGCCCATTTTTCTTGGTTACCCAGCAAATTTAACACCGGTCTCTGAAAAGTTGTCCACTGAAAACAGATCCGGGTGTGTGCTGATTAACAAACTACCAATCCCCTTATTTTGAAATCCGTTCGTCAAAACAGTCACTCATATCGGACAGAGTTAGGGAGCTTCATTTGCCCTTGTAAGGCCCAATCACAAGGATGGGAGTCCCAGACTACCGCGTTTCAATGGAGGGAACCTTCACTTTCCTGAAAAATAAACGATGTTTCAGTAGTGACCACATGTACTAATTGATGTCTGTTATCCCCACCCACTCCCTCTCTCTCGTCTTCTCATTCTTTCATTCTTTGACGTCAATTTATTTCCGTGCATTCAGCATCGCCATCTCATATATGAATTCCTGTTTCCATTTATTGTCTGCGCACTTTCTCTAGACGCTCTTCCTCCTGGTAACCACGTTATCTTATTTTATTTTCGTACTTTTGACTTACTAGATATAATTGTCGTCGTGGCGCGAAATCCTCCCTACTCATATGCCCTATGCCACTCGGATTTGCATTACTTTGTTCAACGACGTTTGACCTTTTTCAATCCCCAGTAAACCCATAGCAAATGAAGTTCTACGGAGAGTCTGACTACTTGAGTGTATCAGACTCCATAAATTATCGATCGGTGCAAACCGGCTTGCGTTTTTGGTGATATTCCCAAGACGAATTTGTCCATCGTGCAAACTTGGCTCAGGTCTAATTTCCAGTGCTCCAAAACCCGCTGTGTATTTTCTAGAGGTATCTAAGTACAATTTCACAGTTACTACATGCAGTGCTCTATATCAGAGCACAGGCTATAAAGCTCCGTCCACTTTCGCCTTCCACATCCCTATTTACCCAGTCAGATTTGTTGACTGGTTTTCCGAGAAGGCCATTTTATTTGACAGATGTATTTTTGAGGATGCGACGCTTGTTTTTCCCTAGGATGTGTTGCCTAACGTCGAATTCTACCGACTTTTTTTAACAGAAATAACTGGTACCCTCCGTGATGAAGGCGACAGACCCATATATCTGTCCAATTTCCTGCGGGACCAAACAGGCATGCTGGCTGAGCTGTAAACTAGGTGCAATCTGGAATTCTTCCACCATGTAGGAGCATGCGTTAGTTTTAAGCAAACTCTATGAAATGCAGACTGACCAGCAGGAACCGCCGGGTGTACTGCCTCCAGGTCATGAACTACATGAATGCAAGTGGTACAAATACAAGTTTTTGGTCCAAGTTTCGGACAGAGGTCTCATACCTCAGGAACATGTCGGGAGCCCTCAACTGTCTTTTCGCGCCACTTGGGGTCGGAGCTGCTTACGGATCGGGTGTAACCATCAGGCGCTAAATAATGCGGCCGGGAGACGTCTGGCGTCATTTACTGAATCTGTTGAAGTTTCAAACAAAGGAAATAATTTTCAAAAACTCAAGAATTGCTCTTGACGCGGGTGCCCGAACAGGCAGTAGAAGTGGGGAGGAATGGGTCCGACTCACAAGAAGAGCCGCGTTTAACGAGACCCACTCCCACCTTCAAAGCCGAAGTTCTCCCGAGAGGCGACAACTGCGTGAGCCGATAGTCGACCGAATCATGATTCAAACGCCCCAAGTCCATTAACCAGCACACTGACTTCCCCCTCCATCTTCTGTACTGTCATTGCCTGGGCAGCAAAAGTGGGCGTGCGAGATTACACAGTTGAGCGCTGTTGCCATTGTCGTCATCAGTGAGCCAGTGGCAGTCAACGGCACGCGGAGGTAAGCAGAAGTGGTCACCTCGGGGTCTCATCTTCGTAGTCATTCTGTTTCACCAGGACCTCTGTGAGAAAGCGACGTTAAAGTGGAGTGGTGTGCCTCGCGAAATCCGCTATATGAGCGCGCGACCGGAGTATACGGTGTGTTTGCCGTCCCCGGATTCAGGTAATGTTTAACATGGTGGCTACTGAGTTTTGTAGCCTACTCTAGAAAATCTAAAAGTTTGCTTTGTTTGTAAGACTTACCGAAGCGAATGATAGCGGTAGCGGTTGCATATGTAATCGCTTCTACGTCTGTCCGGGCGTTACCTATCGAAGGTTACCCGGACCCAATTGACTGCCCAAAATGAAAGCTAGTTAGTGTCATCCTGGCGAGTTGGTAATGGTTCTGTAACACCCCACGAACTGTATTGGTTTCTTTTGGATGAACTGAACACTTTTCGCACGGGTCTGGGATGGTGATTTTGCAACCGCGTGTCGATGAAGGCAGCCGGTGCCTATGTCTTTCTGCTTCCGACCACCTTCCTGCAACTCGTCCCAACTCTCCCCTCTCTCCCTCTCTCTCTCTTTCTCCCTCTCTCTACGTCGGCACCTCCCACAGCCCTTCCCTGCACTTGCCTACAGTGCTGTATTCCCCACTGGTTGTTTTTTAAGCACACAAGTGACGCCTCATCATCCAAACAGGTCATCCCTGTGTTTTAACTCATCCTAATTGTGCAATTGTCCGTCATCAACTCGTCCTTCGGAGCAAATCACAGATAGTGGCAAACCGATCCATTGCACTGCGTGGCGAACGCACGTGATGACGGATTCAGATACCGCACGACTAAGCAATATCGACACAATCCCAAAAGGTCCTACAATCCCCAAGGGCGAACTTGGTGCAGGCGGTGGCACCAGGGAATACAGTACAGCACGCGGTTTTGTAAATATTAGCACCTATAGCATTGTTACCGTCAAGATTTCGCGTTTTTCGTTTTCTCAACTGAGGGTAGATTGAATAAACGAAGAAGTGTTTTTGCCAGACTTGAAGTCCTGTGAAACGCAGAGGCCTTCCCGGTCACCACTGACAAGCCTAGTAAGATGTCTTAAGACAGAATTGGCGCCATTCGATATCCAGAACACCTACCCTCTAAAGTCGGTTTCGACGACGAACATTGAGGTGTTGGTAAGACCATTAGAGGTCGCGCAGTAGGGGCATTGTTGTCGCAGCACCGTCACACCTTTTTCACACAGCACTACCAGGGGTGCAGACAGGCTTGTGCCTGCTTGTGCATGCATCTGTGGAGTCTTAAAAGTAATCTCCTTTTTTCTGTCGGATGCCGCAGAATCCAATCAGCTCTCACGTAACCGAGGCTTGGAAAGATGCCAAGCAGTGGAAAGTTTCTCATGACGACTGCAGTGTGTCTTCCATAGGGTAGTTTTGATAACGCTGGCAGCAATATTGCCTACTCTCACGTGCGTGATTTATGAAAGCGTGTGCGTGTGTATGCGGGGTGTATGGGTGTCCAGTTAGGGGATAAACCGTGTAGGTGTGGTAGGTCTCATCATGCAAGTGGTAACGTCTCTGCACGGCACTTAACTGGGCATCCAGTTATCATCTGTGGTTCTCGCGGCTAGGCACTGCCTAGTGGTCACACCCCAGTAAGCGCTTCGACCGGTGGACTTAACCAGATGAGGATATCCGGCGTCGTGTTTCCACGTCCAGCAATTCTGCTCTCCTTCCCATCCTTCATTATCCTCCCCCTCCCTCCCTCCCAAATTTTTGAAAGTCGTACGGAGAAGGCAACATACAATCGCGTAGGCGGCTCGGGCTACGCCGCTCTTCCACTTAACAAAATTCTGACCCCCAGCGGAGTTCGGCAGTCGCCTGGGGTGTCTAAGCAGCCCTATTAGGAGACAGCACTGCCTATCCTCTCGAGGGGAAGGGGCTAGAAAAGGCTCTCTAAACAACTGCTGGAAATTCATGCCACCTGCTAGTATACCGTAGCTCGCAGATGTGCGAATCTCAATCGAAAAATAACCCAACGAATAACAGAAACTGACGTTTCCATGGCCGCCTAAAGTGACTCTGTCCACTTTGATAGCCTGGAATTCTCGTTCTCTTTTAGACAACCCCCGGAGCAACGGGTCGCAAAAGAGGATGGTGCCAGTTGCTTGAGAACTGTCTCGCCAAAGTATTGGGTATCGCTTCTCCGAACAAGGCTAGCTGAGGGAGGTGGGTGTTGGCCACACAGTCTTGCAGAGCGGCCGCCCAAAGGCAGAGCAACGCGATGCTGACGTCTCCTTTTCCACCCGGAACGACATCGTGGAACGACCGTCTTGTCTGTCGCAGGGCGCCAACGACCACCTCATGAGCCTCTTCGAGGAGCCAAAGTCATCACCACCATCATCAGTGCCTACGACTCTCCAAATATCCGCTTTGACGAGGCAAAACACAAATTCTATGAGGACGTCCACGCTCTCCCGGCGACCGTACCGAAGGCGGCCAAGCTGATTGTCCTTGGTGACTTCAGTGTCCGTGAAGAGGCAGACCACACCGTCCGGGTGGGTGTGTTGAATCATCGTGTACTCGACGGCTGTAACGACAGCGGCCTCCTTCTTTTAACGTGCCCAGGACAAAATATCCTTCTCATCAACACCTTATTCCGCCTTCCGACGTGGGAGAAGGCGATCTGCATGCACGTCCGATCGCGGGGACCGCGTGGTAAGCGACCACCAGGTAAGTTTGATGCTGTTCCGTCGAATCTGCCTGTCAACCACTTCTATTTCAGCAACCAAGTGGCCCAGCGAGTGGGAGGGCTGCAGTCTCCAGACAATAACGCCACCGTGAAAAAACAGTAGTATAAACTGTGGAACCTTATCCACTCAGTCGCCCTGGACGGCCTAAATCTCGTGCGTTGTCAACACCAGGATTGGCTTGACGACAAAGATGTAGATATCAGCAACCAACCCGTCGACAATAACAGACAGCACACAGCCTACCGACTGCCGACAAAAATAAAGTGGCCTAATTCAGACGTCGCCGCCCTATGCAACAACGGTTGCGGAAAATAGAGGACGCTTGGATGACTCGCGAGACCGAGGGGGTCCAAGGGTATGCGGACAGGAATCAGACAAAGAATTTCTTTGCTCCAGACAAGACGGTATACGATCCCGCGTCGCTTTTCTCCTCCGACGGATTAATACCACTGACAGAGAAATTACAAACTCAGAAGCGGCGAGCTGAGCACTTCAGGATTGCCTTCAACCTCTCAGCCCCGAGGTCCGCACCGCCATCGACCGGGTCCCTCAAGTGGAGACAAACAACGCAGTGGACATCCCACCTATATTGCCCACACTGCCACCGCATATGCGCATCACGGATCTATTTGCACAGAGATTCGTGAACCAGTGCTTGGAGCACCAGCATAAACATGTCGTCACCACCTCAGCTTTCCGCATTGTCTCAGGCACTGATTCGCCAGTCTCTATGCGATAGATTCACAAATGATGGACCAGGCCGATGCCTGCACATGGCATGTTTGTGTGGAGTGGCCGAATGGTGGACGGAATGCAGTGGCCCCTCTTAAAGCGACATTCATGGCCCTCCCATTCATTTGGTATTCATGCTGTCTCCCACGTACTGTCGTGCGAAATCTTGGTCGCTTCTGCATAAACCAGGGGCCTTGAAGAAGGAGACACGATCGCTGGGACAGGAGTTTTATCAGCCTGACAATCCGGATTCCTGCTCGAGCCCATCATCAGAGACAAAAGCAGATACGGGTGGTACATGCATAAGGGGCTGCAGTATTTAAAGGATGCAGTCGTCATGCTACCGCATACCTATGAATATTCACGGCTTCCTCCCCCCCCCCCTCCCTTCATCAGGGATCGTTGCACGTGGTGTGATGGCTGTTTGATGGTCGACATTCACGTTGTTAATTGCTGCAATGTCATCACGTGCGTTGGATGTTGGTGTGATGGTTGCTCGACTATCTGACGCACTAACCCTGGTGTTGGGAAAAGTGTTCACCTGTACGCTCCCCGCGTGGCCAATTACTCCGCCTAGGCGAAGTCTCCGCACCAAGTATGGAATGAGAAGATCATTGTATTTGGTAATGAACCGGGGGCCAGTAAACCATGACTCAAGCAGCTCCCGGCTCACGCGGTTGTCACCTCTTGCGAGAATTTCGGCCTCGTCAAATTTAAATGTGTGGCCGGAACCCGTCGAATGAGCCGCAACTTGAGAGCTGGCGTCATTTCTCCGCACTGCTGCAGCGTGTTCGGCTATTCGCGTTCGGAGCTGTCTTCCGGTTTATCTGACGTAGTTGCTTTGTCCGCAACTGCACCAGATCCGATAAAGGACTCCAGACGTTTCTTGCCGTGGCAGCGGGTCTTTTGGTTTCATTAACTGACGCCTGATAATTGCCTTCCGTCTGTGAGCAACTCCAACTCCAAGTGGTGCGAGAAGGCGGCCGACAGCTTCTGAAACATTCTTGACATACAGAAGCGCTCGCCAAAATTTGGTGTCCGTGCGGTTAGGCCTTTCGTCCCTTTTGCATATGCACCGGTCGACGAAGTTGCGCGGGTAGCCATTGGCTTTGAAGGCTCGTCGGATGTATTGTAGTTCGCAATCTTGTTTTACAGCTCACTGCGGTGCGTTTCGACGCGCCTGTATGGCGTCCTTACACAACTGCGTTTGTGGCTGATTGGGTGGTTGCTGTTGAAGTTCAGTACTTGCATCGTATTTGTCGTTTTCCCGAACACTTTGGTCTTTAGTCAATCTCAATCTTTGCTACATACGAGGACGTCCATGAAGGCAAGCTGGTTGTTCTCTTCCTCGTCCATCGTAAATTGTATGTCCGGGAAGACCGCATTCAGATGTTCCTTGAATGTCAGCAGTTGATCCAGGTCGATAACGACCAAGGTAGGATTCACATAGCAGGCCAGGAATTTCGGTCTGTGGTGTTGGAAGACCAGCGACTCTAACCGCTGTAGGACCGCCTCGGCGATGAATCTCGAAATCGGCAAACCCATTGGTGTGCCCTTCACCTGTTCGTAGATTGTCCCGTCGAATGTGAAGTACGTCCTGAGACAGAGCTTCAGGAGCTGAAGGACTTGGGCGCGTACAAGACGATTCTCCGTTTCATCGCATTTGCCTTGTAGAAGCAGCTCAATTATCTCGACCGTTGCGATCATGAAGAATAGAAGTAAAAAGGAATGTAAGATCAAAATCTTCGCTTCTATTGGCAAATCAGGGAGTGTTGTGGCACGCCAAGTTACGGGTTTCGCCGCGCCATCCACCGGCGCCCCCTTCCTCCTTCGAGCTTCCTGACTTTATCATGACACGTTACCCAGTTGAGAGAGAAGAAGAGAATGTGGTAAATGCTGCGTAGGTCTACTACAACTGCGAACGAAACCATGTGCAAATAACCATCCCTGCCCCCACCCTGCTGTGGAGCATGCAATGGACATCGTCGGAATCGACGATCGAACTGTCGTATGCCAGTGTATAACACAAGGGTAGCTTTCCTTCCCTTAACGCACCAGTTAGGGAAGTTTGCTTCACGGAAGTCACTATCCGTAACCCTCCTTTCAGCCGCCACTTTGGCAAGGGGAAGGAAGGAGAGAGTGAGAGACAGTAGGATCAGTAAGGTTCAAATCCAGTGATAATTCCTCATCTTATACATCCAAAGGCTTCTCTAACCTATCACGGTGCGCTAACAGTCAATAACTGTCGAAATAGCTCGGCCCTATTCAGAGGTCAGACTACGGTGAGACTAGTGGCACCTTTCTAAATGCCGCAGGTGGATTAAGGAAGCAGGTCGGGCGTGACAGTTTAGATTTGTCAGTCAGCGCACCCAAGACCACCTCCGGCCGTTTGAGTCTGTTTTATAATAGAAAGACGATGGCTGTGCGTAGAGAGAGAGCGAAGTAGATGCAGTTCAAGTCTGCTTGACCAAGGACACGTTTATGCAATAAGCGTCACTGTGCTCACTCCCTGGGACATTGGTTCGCCTCGTCATTCGCGAATGTTTAACTACTCAGTGTATGAACTTGAGGCTAAAGGTCCAACTGGCTCGATCGCGTCTCCACGCCTTCGACTGTGTCCATACGCTGAGCCAGTACTTAAATGCCACAGAATACTGACACGGATACTTCATATGTCTTCCTCAGTTCAGTTCAACCGTAACCCAACTCGCCACTACCCATCAGCCCTGACTTTAAATCGGAAACTATGGTTGGGCTGAAAAACTGGTTACTCCACAGGCTGAGATGCCTAACAGCGGGTTCATAAATGACGGTGCACTCAACAGAGCAAGTCTTTGACAAAGTAAGGGCGGTCACAGTTGGGCCGAAAGGATAGATGGGGTCATTTGATGTCACCTCACCCTTCACGTGCACACCATAATCCCTTGCGCTCGAAGCACTCAGTGACCTGTAATGTTAAAATTACGACAAGGGCAATGGTCAGTCGAGGCTCGGGATCTCATAGTACTCATGAGGGACTGCCTCAATATTTTTTTCGCTTTCAAAGAAATCACATATGAGCAAATCAAGGGAATCCCGATGGGTTCGCCAATCTCTGGACTCATCGCTGAGGCTGTTGTGTAAACACTTGAGAGAAGACTTTTGGAGGAGTACAAACTTAAATTCAGGGCCCACTACGTTAACGACACCGTCGGCATCGACCGGAATGGAATTAACTACTATAAAGAACGACTGAACTCGACCTTCCATGGTCTACAGTTCTCGATGGAAGCGGAGGTCAGACTTCCGTACTTGGATGTTCTAGTCCGCTGCCAGCCGGACGGTAAACTGGTGACGTCAATCCACTGAAAACAGACGAACACATTCCAAATGCTCAACGAGCAAAACGAGCGAAGTGTCCACACGCTATACCGGTGGGTGGCAACTCATAGCCACACGCCCCCCGCCAAACTGGACGAGGTGAAGCTCCTCCAAGGCCTCTTCAGAACCAACGGCTATCCACGAACCGAAACGGAAAGAAGAGCGTAGTCAGCCAAAGTCATGGCGTAGCATTCCTTTTACGAGCGGGGTTGTCGAAACTGTGGCTAGATTTGTCCCGCCACTCGAAATAGCTATTGCCTACAGGCCTAACTCAAAAATGTGTCGGCAAATGATGTGGCCAAACGACCCTGTCCCTGAGCAGGAAAATTAAATCGTTCTCTACCGACTTCGCTGCAGCTGCGAGATGCGCAATTACGTTGGAGAAACCGGCGGACGGCTACAAACGAGGATAAATGAGTATCAAGTGGCCCTACGAAGGTTGGACCCAAAGCCGGAGGTGGCAACCCATGCCGCGGAGATGGGACACATCTTCAACTTTGACACCGTTAAGATTGTGAGCCGAGGCGATGATCACAATTCAAGAGAGGTTAAGAAGCCTGGATGTCCACCGACTGAGGCAGCGGTGTCTGACGCGTAAACTGAAGTTTAGTGATGGAGACTTTCGTCGCATTGATCTCACTCTTCCTTCATGCACAACTAGGAGTCGATCGTAGTGGCTGATCAGGCGTTTGCCCGTTAATCAGGTGCCACGTGCGCCATTGGTCCTCAGTTAACAAAAACTAAAATCCAGTCACTTGGATATCGCATCAAGAGGACGGATGTGCATAGCTTAAGAATAAACCACAACAAGCACCCGGTGTTCATTTCCGCAGACTGATTTATCTCAGTAGCCCAGTGACCTTTCCATCCATTACTCTTGGTACTGATAACCATCCGTGTTTTGGGTACATGCAGGTGGCCGGAAGAGAACAGTCACTCTCATAGAACAAGAGTTGTTCAAACGGAAAAAAACCACGAGGTTGGCTATTGGTCACCTGCACTGCCTGCACAGAGTCACGAGGCAGCTGTATTCGAGGCACCGTTTCTATTAATGAGCAAGTGAGGACAGTTGGAGTGCCAGACGTCTTTGTGTGTTCTGTTTCGCCTGTGCAAAAGGGACCGCTAGTGCGGGAAAGTTATCCGGCTTCCAACTCCTCCTGAGCTCGCGCGCGGATGCGTCTGGCAAACTGAGCCGTTATCTCACCCTTCCGCTCATTCATGAGCACTTCTATGCTGAAATGTGGGGACCTTCCTACCTTGCCTATCGTAAAATAAATCGAAGTCGTTGTATGCTCGTGCTGTCTGACGGCACCCCCAGGGTGACAACAATTCGTACACTCTCGAGGTAAGAAGAAGACATGTGTTTACCACGGAATTCGCTAGTCGGGGGAGAGGTGCTTTTGCCTGGCCTTGTAATCTAACGTTTGGACGATTGTTGGTGCAAATTTTCAAGACAAACAAGGCAAACCGTTCCTATCAATCTCGCCCTTCCCTGAGGTCGCAGGACGATGGCCGGCCTATGGTTATTGTCTCAGTCGAGGCAAAGGCCGAGAGAACATTCTCCATCCCATGGAGATTTTTCAGTAGAGCTTGCGAGCTCTCCAGTTAGGTGTCCGCCTGTTTTACGCGGGCTCGGGTGAACCCAAGACAGCGGGTGGCCGACTGACAAGGGACACGGACGGAGGCGCGTGGAGCACGGGGTTGGTCAACCGCAGAGCCAATAGATGGGGCGCATGAGTCATCGTTCGAATGTAGGCGCAGCTTGCATGACGGTGATCTAGCCGAGGTCGGGCGGTCAGCGCACCACAATTGCCCTGCCGCCTATGCACGCCAGGGGGTGAGGGCGACAAAAGAGTGGGCCGGCGAGATCGGCCCACTGGAGCGAGTGACTAACAGATGGCTGACGACACAGAGGAAGGATCACGTCCAGGTAACCTGAGGAGCCACAGTCATCGCAGGGAATGGCAGTGCGACCAGAATAAAGGAGATATGGATTGCCGACAGAAGCCAAGAGGCGAGTTCCGGGAAACAGTTCAGAAGGAGATGCGATCGCCGAAACAAGAAGTTGCTTCGGATTCTCACCTCAACCCCACCGCCAGAGACAGTCGCAGACAAAGATGATGGGGATGCAATGAGTGCAGAACTTATAGGACGCAGTTGTCGTGCAACCACACGCCTATCATAATTAGCAGCGTCCGCGTTCATTGCTGGGGGCTCGTATTTGACGTGATGATGACTTGTTAGTCGCATGTGAGACCTTAATGGTTGTGATTCCGTCACCGTTGTTGATTCGTGGCATGATAATTACTCTCGCATCTTCGCTTATATCGACGATTACTTGGCATTTTGACTCGCAGTCGATGGAAATATTAGTCGCCCGCGCACTGCCGCTTGGCCATCTACTCAGCCCAGGTAGGGTTTCAACACAGAAGTTAGAAAGGGCGAGGGAGTCACAGCGTTTGTAAATCCACTGCGGGCCGGATAACCATGAGCTAAAGCAGATCGCGGCTCACGCGGTTGCCATCCTTTTCGTGAATTCCGGCCTTGTCTAACTTGAGGGTGTTGGCTAGTCAGGTGGAATGAGCCACGACCTGGGAGCTAGCGTCATCCCTCCTCACTGCCGTCGTTTGCTCGACCATCCGCTTCCGGGGGAATCTCCCACCTCCAACGTAGTTACTTTGCTCGCAACTGAGCAAGATCCAATAAACGACTCCAGACGCTTTCTGCCGTGACACTGAATCTTTCGGTTTCATGACTTCGTTCCCGATCCCTGTAAACCCACACTTTAAATGGCGTGAGAGGGCGGCTGACGGCTTCCGAGACGTATTTGGTGGACGGGAGCGCTGCAAAAGTGTGGGGTCGGTTGGATTGAGTCTCTCATCTCGTTGGAGCACACACTGGTCGACAAAGTTGCGTAAGCAAACATTCGTCGTAAGCTCCCGTCGAAGATATTGTAATTCAACACCTTTGTCTTCCGGTTCACTGCATTTCATCTCAACACGCCTGTATAGAGCCCTTACGTAACTGCGTTTTGTGGCTTATTGGGTGGATAGGGTGACTGGAGGTCACTGCTTCTGTTAATCCTTTTGAAAATTTTACCGTGATCGACCAGCCATAAACCAGCCTTAGATGTGCTATATGAATCAGAGTCCAATTGGTCATCGAACATTGGAGTCGGAGGTATATCTGAAATATCAATGACCATTCTAGTTTCTTTCATCTTTACTAGATATGCATCGCTATGGGACTACCTGCGAAGGTTTTAGTTTGGAGCTCCAAGACTCTACGTAATCCGTATCCGATGGGGTTACGTATGAACACATAAATAGCACTCTGACGGCATCAAC